CTATTAGTAAGTCTTCACTTGGCCCAGTAGCGTTCTGGATGTATAGAGAACATCAAATGCATGACTCCTGCTATCCTTGCATTTGTCACTCCCTGAAAACATCAGGACAAACTGCCATGCAGGTTTTGATCTTACCAAGTGTGAGATTGGTGGATCCCAGTGGGCCTTCAAGTGTTATTGCTGAGCCACAATGTAGTAGGAGTCAATCCAAACTTTCTAATTTTATCTCTTGCCTTTGCCATTCTAAGAAGTGCTTGCAATAGGCTACACCTTTCCCTCACATAGATGTTTAATTACAATCTTTCCCCCTCTGAGTTATAATTTCTTTCTTATCTCTTAGTTTTTTCATTGCTAAGTGATCTTTTAATTGCATGTGGTCAATTCTCTTTTCTATGTTGTACAGGAATTTTTCACTAATGGTAAATCTGTCTTCATAGGCCCTATTCTGTTATGGGCCTTTTTCCTCTTTTCCCACCTACTGGACATATGGAGACATGGTCATGGATAACTGCAACCTTTGCTGTCGGCATGGTCTCCTGGCAATTTTATGTATTAAGCAGGACAAACCTGGATTTTCCACTGTGTGTATATTTTACAGAGCTGCAGCAAATCTTGTCTCCTTAAAGCAAAGGGACCTTTATAATGCATGCATTTACTTTCTGCATTTTTAGCTATGTAAAATATTCTAGGTTTACTCTCAGCCTAATGCACCTCATAGGATTGCTGTGAGGATAAAATGGAGAGGAAGGAGGCTTTGTAAGCTACCTTGGACTCCTTGCGTGAAAAGGCCTGGACCCTGCTCCGGCCTGCTTCCCCCGGCGCGTGTGAGAGATGCACCGGGACGGGGTGGGGCACAGGGAGGGGCCCTGCGGGCCACAAAGTGCCGGCGGTGACCAGGCCGGCCCCCGGGAGGAAACCAGCGCTCCGAATGGCCCCACCTCCATCTGCGCCGCCCAGAGCCCGCGTCGCCAAGACCTCACCTCTGCTCTGCTGCCCGCTGCTGCCGCTGCCCCGCCGCAAAGGCCAGGACCACCGGCTCAGGACCCTGCTCCGGCCTGCTTCCCCTGGTGCGTGTGAGAGACGTGCTGGGATGGGGTGGGGCACAGGGAGGGGCCCTGCAGGCCACAAAGCGCTAGCGGCAACCGGGGCTGCCGGCCGAAGGGCGTCGGCCTAAGGGCGATCGCCGTTTGGGGGCCGTTCGGGGACTGAGCGGGGGGCTGGGCTGGCCAGGGGCTTTGGCCGTGGTTTGGTTTTATCTGTGGGCTAGCGGTGGGTTACAGTGGATTATGGTAGGATGTTTTTAATGGTTTTAATTGTTGGTTTTAGATTGCTTTTAATTGGTGCATCTCGTGCTTTACTATGATGTTGCCTGGGGAGCGCGGGGGCGCCGCCATCGGGGTGGTGATGGGCAATGGACGTTATGGCATTGGGGGTCTAACGGGTCAGCATAGAAGGAGAGACAGATGGTTAACACCTGTCCCTCTTTGTGGTTATTCCCCCAGCCGGTGGGTTCCAGGTAGACTTGTCAACTGCCCCCCGGGCCTGTCGGTGCTGCTGCTTAATGCCAGGTTGGTCCAAAATAAGGCAACATTCATCCATGATTTGATCATGGATGAGAGGGCTGACTAGACTTGCATCACAGAGACTTGGCGGGTGAGGGGGGGGGTTGTTTCCCTCTCACAATTGTGCCTACCCGGGTACCTGGTCCAGCACCGACCATGCCTGGAGGGGAGGGGAGGGGGGTCGCTCTGGTTTATTGAGCTTCTATTTCCCTTATGGGGCTTCCTGTCCTCTTGAGGCCGGGGCTGGAGTGCCTCCACGTGGTGTTGGGCGACCGAGACAGATTGGGGATTCTGTTGGTGTACCGTGCACCCTTCTGCCCAACAGACTCCCTGCCTGAGCTGACGGAGATCGTCTCGGACCTGGTGTTGAAGACTCCCAGGATGTTGGTCCTGGGGGACTTCAATCTCCATGCCAAGATGGTTCTAACCGGGGTGACTCAGGACTTCATGGCCTCCGTGGCGGCCATGGGGCTGTCTCAACACGTCATTGGCCCGACCCATGAACGTGGACACACTCTGGACCTGGTTTTCTCGACGGGGCAGGAAGAGGGTGATCTGAGGGTGAGGAATTTAAGTTTGACGCCCTTGTCATGGTCAGATCACTTCCTCATAAGGTTTGAGCTTGAGAGCGGCCTTTCCCTCTGTAAGGGTGCAGACCCGATTGTATTGGTCCACCCCCGGAGCCGGATGAATCCTGATGGATTCCTAGAAGCTCTGGGGGATTTTCCGGTTGACAAGTCTGGTGATCCTGTCGATGCCCTGGTTGAACTGTGGAATGAGGAGATGACCAGGGCTATTGACACGATTGCTCCCAAGCGTCCTCTCACACCTGGCAGAGCCCATTCATCTCCTTGGTATACACCTGAATTACGGGCAATGAAGCAGGTTGGGAGACGTCTGGAGTGTAGGTGGAGGAGATCACGGGGTGAATCTGACCGAACACACTTGAGAGCCCACTATCGGGCCTATGCTGTGGCAGTGAGGATGGCGAAGAAGAAATTCTTCTCTGTTTCCATTGCCTCCTCACAATGCCGTCCGGTGGAGCTCTTTTGGGTGGTGCAGGGGCTGGTACATCCGGGCCCAAAGAAAGATCTTGTGCCACCCCCAAAGGCCTGCTGTGACGATTTTGCCAAGCATTTCAGGGAGAAAATCGCTCAGATTTGCCACGAGCTTGACTCTACTATTGAATCAGATTCTACTGGGGAGATGCCATCGACGCCGTCGAGTCCACAATTAATGGATGAATTTCAGTTGTTGTGGCCTGATGATGTGGACAAGGTGCTTGGACAAGTACGCCCTACCACTTGCTTACTAGACCCATCCCCATCTTGGCTACTTAAGAAAGCCAAGGACGGGATTGGGACCTGGATCCTGGAGGTGGTCAACGCCTCTTTAAGAGACGGCCGGGTACCTGCCCCTTTAAAAGAGGCAGTAGTCTGGCCTGTCCTAAAGAAGGCATCCCTGGATCCAGAGGTGGCCGCCAATTATAGACCGGTAGCCAACATCCCGTTCCTGGGCAAGGTGCTAGAGCGGGTGGTGGCGGGACAACTCCAAGCACTCTTGGATGAAACTGATTATCTGGACCCATTTTAGTCTGGCTTCAGACCCGGGTACAGTACTGAATCTGCCTTGGTCGCCCTGTACAATGACCTATGCAGGGAGAGAGAGAGGGGGAGTGCATCCCTGTTAGTTCTGGACCTCTCAGCGGCTTTTGATACCATCGACCATGGTATCCTTCTGAATAGGCTAGCAGGATTGGGAGTTGGAGGCACCGCATGGCGGTGGTTCCGCTCCTATCTGAACGGCTGATTCCAGAAGGTGGTGCTGGGAGACTATGGCTCTGCACCATGGCAGCTATGCCATGGAGTTCCGCAGGGGTTCATTTTGTCTCCTTTGCTATTTAACATCTACATGAAACCGCTGGGAGACGTCATCAGGAGGTGTGGGCTGCGGAATCATCAGTACGCTGATGATACCCAGCTCTACATCTCGTTTTCCACCAATCCAGGTGAGGAAGTGGTTGTGTTGAACCGGTGCCTGGCTGAGGTAATGGGCTGGATGAGGGCCAATAAACTGAAGCTCAATCCAGACAAGACAGAGGTCCTGTTGGTGAGTGGCTCAGGCCTTGGGATGGGGGATTTGGGCCTTGTCCTAAATGGGGTTGCACTCCCTCTGAAGGACAGGGTTCGCAGCTTAGGAGTGCTCCTCAACCCTGAGCTGTCTCTAGAAGTTCAGGTGATGGCGGTGGTGAGGAGCGCCTTCCTTCAGCTTCGGCTGATACATCACCTGCATCCCTTCCTGGAGAATGACTGCCTGGCGACAGTGACACATGTGTTGGTGACTTCCCGATTAGATTTCTGTAACGCGCTCTACATGGGGCTACTCTTGAAGACAGTCCGGATACTTCAGTTGGTGCAGAATAGAGCTGCCAGGTTGCTGACGGGGACTGAGTGTTGTTCTCATATAACCCCAGTTCTCCGTCGGCTCCACTGGCTCCTGATTGAAGTCCGGGCCCAATTCAAGGTGTTGGTTATGACCTATAAAGCCCTAAACGGCTTGGGACCTGGTTATCTAAAGGAACGCTTGCGTCCATATATGCCCTCCCGCCCCTTGAGATCAGCAACAGATGCCCTTCTCTGGGAACCCTCTGTGAATGATATTAGGAGGGTGAGTACCCGGAGGAGGGCTTTCTCTGCGGAGGCACCCCATCTATGGAATGTGCTCCCCAGAGAGGTCCGCCTGGCGCTGTCATTATTTGTTTTTTGGCGCCAGGCTAAGACCTTTTTATTTAAAACTTATTTTAATTGTTAAATTATTTGTATTTATAGGATTTTACATTTTTAGTCGAGATGCACCGGGGGTTTTTAAATAATATTTTAAATTGTTATATTGTTATTATTTATGTATTTATATATTTTGTTTCTGTTGTGAGCCTCCCTGAGGCTTCGTTGCGATGGGGGCAGCATAAAAATGTTTTAAATAAATAAATAAATAAATAAACCTTTTGAATTAAAAGCCATGGCATTTGAATAACTCTTCATATTGATTTCACTGGGGTCTAAGTTAAATTAGCTTACACTGCAGTCTAATACGCACTGGGAGTAGGTCCAACTGAATTTAGTGGGATGTATTTCTAAGCACAGGATTGCGCTGTAAATCTGGATCCAGCCCAGAATGTGATAAGGCTTCTTTTGACTGCAATAAAGAATGATCACTGAAAGCTCATTCATTGAAATGGCTTACTGGGAGATTTATGAGTGCCTTAGTATTTCTGAGCAAGTAGCTTTTAATCCTCCCCACGCTTCTTTTAAAGCATTCTGCACTGTGGCATGGAGAACATACCCATAGCTATCCAGGAACGTGGGACAGCGTTCTTGCTTGGTGGTTGAAGAGGAGGGTGACCAAGTTGGATTCAAATCTGTTTTCGTGTTTCCTTAGGTCAATTTTGTTGCTTGTCAGCTCCTTGCGCTCTTGGCTGCATTTTGGTTTCGCTTGTACTTAAATCCCAGTCATACCAGTTCTGGTGTTCGCCATGCATTTGCCACCATTTTTGGAGTGTATTTTGCGGTTTTCTGCTTCGGCTGGTGAGTAATTGCTAACATTTTTAAAATATGGATGCTTTATTTAATAGATGCTATGCTATTAAAGTATTTTACCACGCAAGTATAACATCCTTAATGCACTTTTAAAAAACATGTAAATATTTTGTCACTAAATACTGCTTTAAAAGAAGATGCATATTCCATTGAACTTGCAATTTAACAGCAAACTAGCCTTCTGGATCCTTTTTCAGTGTATTCCACTGTAGTCACTGGATTAGAGGCACGCAGGGGCCATGTATTGTCTCTTATTTCTTTTCAGTTGGTTACTTTGCAAAAGGATTTCTCCTCTCTGGTCATAAATCTTTGACTATGAAACTCGTGCTTCTTGTTTTCAAGGTACTCCATCCATATATTTGTTCTCGTGATAATAAGCTATGGCATCATGAGCACAGCCAATATTCCCAATATCCACAGGTGAGATTACCTGGCTACTGAAAGTAATATGTTACTTGAAATAACTGTCCTTTCTCTTCCTGTCTTCCTGGTTCTTTTCTTTGTACTTTTCCTCCCCATTCATGGAACAACCCCATATTTAATCTATTATTAGCCATGTAGTGACTAAAGCTGGGGTGGGTAAATTGTAGCTATCTGGCAATTTTGGCTAATAATGTGTATCTAGGATGGCTGCTACTCAGCCATGAAGCTTCAGTAGGTACCCATCCTGCGCATTGCTTCACAGAGGCTGCAGGTAAGTTTATTTTCTCCTTTGGTTCCATTTGACAGCTGTCAAAAGGCAAGCAATCAAATGTTACCAAGTAAATGATCTTAGTTCTCAAAAGTGGAGTTGTACCTTGTTTTACCTCTTTTGTGGCAATGTAAGAGGTGTGTGTGTGTGGAGGGGGGTTGGATTCAAGTATCCTAAGGGTGCTCTGACCTCTGTTCTTTTTTCTCAAGATTCTGTCACCTCAGAAAGTGTGACTCACCACATTCATGGGTTCAGTTAATTTAACAGCTGTCAGAAATAAAGCTCAGTGTTTAGAATGGGATTTTTTTTCTTTTGGTCAGGAAACAGAACCCATATACCTGGGGATAAACCTCTGCCAGCCCCACCACCTAAGTTCTCCTTGGGCACTTTATGGGTAGCTGGCACCAGTGGTTGCCAGTAGCCACCTGGCAAAATTGCCAATGAAGTTCTGCTTTTGCCAAGTGACTTTGTAACCAGTTGTCTTATGGGTCATGTTGTCTCGGTTTTGATAGCACAGGAATTTATCAAAGGTGAAACATGGGTTGTTGGGGTGTCATATAACCCAAACTGAAGCCACCCTGACACACCCATTACAACTTATTAGCCATGGAGGGTTGCTGCATCATGGGAACCCAGGCATTTTCTTGAATGCCATATTGTGCCGAAAACCCGGAGCCCCACCTTTTCCATTGACTGACATAAGCCAACAGGGCTTTGGATGGTGCAGTAAATCCAGCACTTTGCTTTCCCCCACTTGACAACCCCACTTTGATTTGTGCTGTTAACTTTTTAAAGCTGTCTGCAGCATGGTGGGGAAGTTGAGTTTGACAAGAATCTTGCTGTACTTTAGTAACCTATAGCAATTATCTGAGAATTAGCTTACAAGGTCCAAACCTCTTGATATGGCAAAATGATAGTTTCGATTGGGAGGCAGTTTTGTGTTTTCGTTGCAGTTTCTTAATGTAATAAATGTATATGATTTTAGGTACTCTTTTATAGTAGCTATGGGATATCTCACATTATGCCACATCAGTCGGATATACATATTCCACTATGGTATTCTCACTACAGATTTCTCTGGGTAAGTAGTGATAATACTTCTATTCATATATTCTATGCACCCAGAGCCCCCAAGGGAGGAGTCTGTCCACTCCATTCACCTGTTCGACAGGAGAGGAAGGAACCGCTGCTGCTTGGCTGTCTGCCAGCTGCAGTGTGTATGGACTGCTAAGCAGTGTGCTGTTTAAGGAAGTCTGCCGTCCAGTGACTGAAGATGGTACTACTGGCTTCAAACATAGGGAGATGTTTAAATTAATTAAAATGAATGCATTGTCAGTAGCAGTAGTAGTAGTAATAATAATAGTAATAATAATAACCCTGAGGTACACTTTTCTAGGGTTTCCTTAGTATACATGCCAAGTTTAGGTGCCTGGGGTTCAGGATCTTGCACAGATACACAACTTCACACAGTTAGATGATTGTGTTTCTGAGGAAGACTCTTGTATAACATTTTCAGGAAGACAATTTTCCTGCAGTAATATTTTTGAATTAATAGGCTTTATTGCCATTCATTATTAGGTGCAGGTTATTCGCAGCTTGAATGTTCATAACTTGGGGACTGCTTGTACAAACCAGACTAAACACACAAATTATGCTTTGCTTCTGTCCAGTGCTAGCCATGTTAGGCATCCCTGAAGCTAAGTTCAGCTATCTTGGGAGGTTTACTAATGCTCAGAAATTACTTAAATACTGCTGAGCATAATTTTCAGATAAATGGAAGTCTTATCATTCCATTGCAACTATATTATATTGTGTTATTCTGATACTGACTGGCTGAGCTGGTGTGATTTCATGGAATGTTCATAAGTATTCCAGCTGCCTAAGGAACAAAAATGTTACAATGTTCATCTAGATTCATTGAGGGAAGGACACATTTTTCAGGACAAGAATAGCTTTATGTAGTGAACTGTGCTGGGTGAAGAGTTACCAAAGAGGCAATGAAGCTGGAGCTGGGAACTACATGTGAAGTCTCTTTATAAATGGATTGCACTCGATTTTAACGCAGTAGATTGAGGACCATACAGCACATAGATGCTTGTTTGGATATTTAGTTGACTTTTGTTGAAGCCCAAGTGTTCTTGCTAGAAAGTTGTATGCACTTCGTAAAAGTCCACATAACAAAAAAAAAAAAGTAACATTTTTTGCTAGGATGCTCTTGAGTACCACATTGGGACTCCTGTCCTGAACGTTAAGTTTAAACCAATTCTTTAAATTGGGCCTGAAAAGCACTTCGCAAACTGTGCAGGTTTTTCAGATAAAGTGAAATACATTTCAGAGTCCTGATCCTGTGTTCTGGTTGGCAATTTAGCTGCCATTTTTGAAGTTGAAGCTTCTGGATACTCTGCAGGGGTAACAACACATAGAATGCATTGTGGTAGGCACAGCGTTGTGTAACTAAGGCCCTGATAACTGTTGCTTTGTCGGACTGATTTCAGATGGGTTGCTGTTGGTGCACCAGGTATAATTATGCAAATACACGCATTGCAGTAATCTGAAGATCCAGAGACAGTGGGGGATCAAGGAGCATTCCCAAGCCCTGGCCCAGAACTCGTTGAATTGTAGTCCCTGAGTCATATTTTCTACTTCCTAACAATATTTTCATCTTGTATGAGTTCAACTTCAGCCAACCCATTTTTGAACCCAGGCAAAGTTCAAGGAGTGTAACTGCTTCTTTGGTGTATGGTGACAAGGAGCTACAAAGCTGGGTATCCTCAGCATATTGGTGGTGCTCCACTCTGAAGCTCTGAAGAACGTCTCCCAGTAGTGTCATATAGAAATTAAACAAAGGGGGAAGAAGGCAGAACCTGGTGGGAGACCATGGACAATGACTACTGAGTGATCCGTAATTTCATGGCACACTTGCTCAGAGCACATTGCCTAAATAACAATGCGACATAAGGTGTGCATGGTCCAAGCTATTTGGGTAAGACTCAACATCTTAAGCTATGTGTGGGAGAGTATTTAGAATTGGTGCATATTATTTAGCTGTTCAAAATTGTTACATCTCACATTCAGCACAAATACGACTAAAACCATAACACTCATAAATACACAATATAATACAGCTACTTCTTAAGTAATTGCAAGAAAACCTTAAGCAACCCAAGAAACAAATTAGCAAGACTTTCTGGAGCATTGTATGCGATGACCCTGACTGTCAGGGAGCAATCCTGCAGTTTGTGAACAGTCTTCAAGGGTAGTCCTGCCAACTGTTCTTCACAGTAGTCAAGTTCTGATGTATAAAGGACAATTCCTATTTACTTAATTGTCCTCAATAGTTTGTGTACTACATTGCATTTCTCTGCATTGTGTGATAAAGCACCCTGAATCATTTTGACCAACTTAAGTGCTTTTCTGTAAGTTATATTTTGCAGTACAAGTACAATTAAAATAGTGTTAACATAGTTCTATGCCTTTTAGCTTGGAAGAAAATCACTTGCTGTTCAGTGAAGCATGCTCCTTAGTAATTATGTTTTAAGATTGCTCTGGTAGTGATTAAAACACATGTGGAAATAAGGTGTAGGGGAAAGACTTGGCTTAGACCAGGCTTAGCTTGGCTTAGACCAGGAGACCCAGTCTCATATTGTAATTTAGGTATTATAGTCATGATGTGAACTTGCCTAACCTATCTCAGTGGGCTGTTGTGGTGATAATAACTCTGTATGCTGCATATATTTATATCCACCTTTTTCCTGCAAGGACCTGAAGGAGGCTTATATAATCTTCTTCCCTGCTTTATCCTCACAACAACCCTGTGAAGTAGGTTAGAGCTCTGAGCTTTTTCAAGTCGAAATAGTGTGCTCATGTGAAAAATATATAATCTTGTTTTGAAGCATGTAAGATAAAATCCTCACAGTTTTCTACATTGGACTCTAGCCCACTGATGATTGTAACCCAGAAGATTACAACCCTTGCCTTCCAGGTGCATGATGGTAAGGAAATTTTTCCACAAAAGTTCTCTAAAAAGATACTGGCAACCTTTGGGGAAAACCAGACTCTGTTGCATTTGTCAAGCCCTACATCATCTTTTTATAGTTATGGTTTTGTCCGCCTTTCCTTGTAATAATAAAAATGATAATTCTCTGAGCTGAAGTAGATGGAAATGTGATCTTATTTAACACTTCTTTTGCTTGGCTGCTTTAATTATAATTAGAAGAGACGGAAAGCGTCATAACTAATTCTACTAATTTCGGTGGTTTACTGTGGAGATCCCAAGTATGTTGTCACGATTCTCATGCTTGGCTGCATTGGCTAAGTGACTTGGTTAACTAGGTCATGTTTATGGAAGAATTAAAAAAAACTGTTTAAGCTCTTTTCCCCTCACAGAACATTTGTCAAACTCTTTTTCCTTGGAAACAGAAGTATCAAAATATTTTTAAACACTGTGTTCATTCTTTTCTAGTTTTTATGTAGAGATGCAGAGGGAGGACTATAATAGATAAAAAAGGAAAAAAACAAGTCTTGGAATCCTTAAATCCTTGAGATTTATTTTATTCATGTTCATCAATTGCAGCCTATTCAGTGGATGTTGAATGTGAACTGCATAAAGTAATCCCATTAAAAAAAAACCTAATAAAGCTAAGATGTCACTTTAGCAGTAATTCAAAAGAGGTTCTAGTTTTCTGGAATGGAGAAGTGCATGGGACCAGTAGGCTTGGCCAGGTACGAGTCAAAGGGTATATCTGCATGCAGGATAAACCCATGTGTATCTGTTTAAAAAGAAGTTTTGTGGAGCCTTTACTCCTGGTTAGATACATACAGGAATGTAATCTTAAACTGGGTCAATGGACTCTCTTACACCATGGGAAGCTGTCTTATCACACTCGACTGTTTGTCCAACTATCCCAATATTGTCCCCTCTAGTTGGTCCCAGGAATGGTTTGCAGGCAGCGCCTTGTCAAAACTAAACAGGCCTGAATCAGGTCCAGGCTTGATGGGACACCATCTGGGATCTTTATGTAGCTACCTTGAGCTGCCCAGTGGAAGAAATAATAATAGGTGGAGTATAAACATAATAAATAACATAATGGTTTTCCGGGGATTTCAGCTGGCATCTTTTCATCCCATGTGCTCTGATTCATTTATACAGACATATAGTGTGGAGGAAGGAATAGGAGGGGGGAGCTGTAAAATGGAGAACTATAAAAGTACCCATACTGGACGTATCTCTTTCCGTCTCTCTCTTTGCTAGCAGCAACAACACAAAGGATTCACCACAGAGATGAGACCAATGGTTATTTTGCATTTGGTCATCATGCAAAGTGAGTCCTTCTTTTCTGGCCTTGCCCTTTCCTTTGCGCTTTAGCCAATGGCTTTTTATCCCTGTTTGAGCCCTTGGATTCCAAAAGTTACTTTTCAGCACTCTCCCTTCCCTCCCTACCTTTTCTCCTCCAAATAAACTTGCATCCATATAGTAGGTGCCTGTGAGAAACGTTCTGTGTACATTCCACCAGTGCAATGGAAACAGCTGTGTAGAAAGCTGCTTTTTCCCAGTACGGCAAAATTGTGTCTTGTGTACTGAGATCATGCTGTTGTGTTGCAATACAAAGGAGGACTTATGGAAGCCCCAGACAACTCTGAAACAAACCTGCATTGTTTGGAGGAGGGAAAATTGTGGGCATTGTCCCTAATGAGCAAGAATGTATAATTTCAGGCCCAGTAGCCAAATTCAGCCTTCTGGTGTTTCTAGCTAACATATGCCCCTTTCTTCTGACATAGCCTGTTTTGCGGTTTTGGGGCTTGTATGCAGTTTTTGCATCATTGTAAATGGTTGAAGTGTCTTTCCTAAGCTTTAAGCTCACATATGCTGGCATGTGCATGTATGCGCATGTGTAGTATTTTTGCCCCTCTCCCTTTTTGCTTTCTCCCTTTTGCTTTCAGCCTTGACCACCATTGGAATGTGACCCCTAAGAATTTATCTGCAACTGGCCTGAAAGAGCATTTTGCACTCCTGTCAGAGCAGTTTGTTAGGTTGGTAACTTTAAAAAAAATGAAAGGAGGTAGGCTGTAGAAAACAGGGCAAGGATAAAAGTGGGACAATATGCAGAATTTGTCAACATTGTTATTACTCATATTTGTATTTCATTTTTCTCTGTACTTTGTTTTCCTCCCCGCAATGTCTGATGTGATTCTTGTGCTACTTTTTTTTACTAGGAATAGGTCGAAAGGCTGAAGAACTAACTGCGGAACAATCTCAACTTGCTATAAAGTAAGGAAGAACTCTTGTAGGAATCTAATCTTCTAAAAAAGGGAAATTGTCTTGTTGTATGTACAGTATAATTTTGTGGGATAGTTCAAGTACTTCTGTGATGCAACACCTTGAATTTTCTTAGTGTTAAGATATTGTAATTCTCTTTGCACTTTGGAGTTACTTTTATATTTTTTAGAGTTCAGGGACCTACCTTTTTTTGAAGATGGGTTTCCCCATGGGAATCAACCCTTTGTCTTTTAAGTATTAAGTTTCAAAAAATGCCCTGAATGGAAGAAGATTGTTGAGAGTAGAATAGATCTGCTGAAGAAGCTAAGTGTAAGGAGGGAGGGCCAAGCAGTAAAAATAAAAGTGAAACCTTTTGAGCAGAATACTCCACAAGTCTTTGGAACTTTTTGTGTATAGCCTGAGGTTCATCATATTATTCTTTCCCCGGAGGAGAAAACATAATGGCAGCAGGCTGTAAAAGAGATCCAGTTTGGGAATATTTTAATGAAGTTCCTGTACCTATGGATAAGACAGGCATGGCTGCAAATCATGTAGAAAACCATGATTTAAATCTAGCCGTACTGACTATTGATATAAATTGTGATTTAAATCAAATCCACCCTGAGTTATTTATGCACACATGCACACAGATGTGTTGGTTGCAAGCTGGGAAATTAGCATAATCACCCTTGTTAATGTGGATTCTCATGTCATTTAAATCTGGCTATGTTGGTTTGTAGCTGTGGGTAAGGAGAACTTTATTTATTTAAGATATTTCTATACCATTTAATTGGACAAGCTCTTGGAACGGTTTACAGAATATTTTAAAAAATCAGGAACAAGCTATTTAAGAACAAATTTAAAACAACCTTGCTTGTCATAAAGCAACAGTATAACAATAAAATTTAACAGGCTGTGATAAAACAATAACAAAATAATGCATAATAACCATTCCACCTGTACCAAACAGTTTAAGACCAATAAAATCACAATCAGCAGTTAAAATGGTGAGAAAAAACCCCCATGGACAAAAAAGCCCATGGATTCTAGGTGGTTTCTTAGCCACTGCAATAATTCATCTTGGTTAAATCCACATGACACAGGAAGCCATGAAATTACTGAAGCTCCTCACTTGTAGCATGCAATCGGCAAGTTAGGGAAATTAGCAAGCCATGGTGGTGATGGGGATAGTGCAGACTGGGTCACTGTATGGCAGGATTGCAGTTTCCTGAGGGCTCTGCTGGTTTGCACATGGTGGGCATGTCGTGAGCAGAGCCGGCTGGGGCCGGGGGTCAGACTAGATGGCCTGGGAGGCCTCTTCTGACTCGCTCTGTTTCTATGTTTCTTAGGGTGTTTCCAGCAAAGGGCTTGTAGTGATACAGATCAAGAGGCATTCTGGGGGTATTTTAGCCTTCGCTTCTTAACATAGTACATTGGAAAAGGCAAAAGACAGAAGAAGTGGCAGGAAAACATGAGGACAGTATCTGGACTCCTCCAAATTACCATTAGTGAGGCAGGGCAATTGCATGAAAAAGCCTCACCGGGAAGCACCCTTGAACTATGCCTTTCTGCATAAAAAGTAGTAATTATCTTGTATTTCTCAGTCTAACCTACATTGAGTCAAATAATAAAACACTGCTATTTAAAGTCTTCTTTTTTCCTTCTGAAAGAAAGGAAGAGGGTTGGGCTCTTTCTGTAAAAGCTTGCCTGTTTTGACAGAGCAAGGCCTTCGTTACTGGAGTACCTGAGCTATCAGCTCAACTTCTTGAGCATCCTAGCAGGTCCATGCAGCAATTACAAGGACTACGTCGCTTTCATCGAAGGGAGACATGTGCAGATGAAGTTATTAGAAGCAAACTGGAAACAAAGGGGTCATGAAAGACTTCCTGATCCTTCCCCAGTGGTGAGCTATAAAATGCAACCTATTTATTTTCAAATGTTGCAAACTTTTTTGTCATAAAACAGTATCAACAGCAGACTGAACAAGCAGACACATGCTGGGGCAGGGCAAATGCCTCCCTGGGCCAGTATTCTGTTCCCACATTCATCTGCCAGGAGCCCATGGGGGGCCCATAAGCAGGACATGAGAACAATGGCAGCCTCTTGTTCAGGTCCCCCATGGCTGGTATTTAGAGGTGTATTGACTCAAACACCAATGACAGTATGGATTTCCTTCATGATTAGTACTCATTAATAGCCTTATTCTCCATGAATTCGCCTAATCTACTTTTTAAAGCCAACTAATTTGGTAGCTTTCATGATTTAGCTATTCTTTATATACTGTAAATATAATAAAATATTATAAATATTTATATTTATAATTCCATATTGAAATTATTATCCCAGCTTGTGCTGTAGGTTCATTGCCACTTTCAATCTTTTAATAATCTCCTCCTTCCTAGATCTCCCTCTTCTGTCTTTCCGCTCTAAACTAGGGCTGTTGAACCAGCTAGCCTAACCTGTTCCCACTGAGGCTTTTCTGTTCTCTGGGTTTCCCAAACAGCGCCATCCCCTTTCCTGAACCACCCATTATTTTGTTGTTTCCTGGCATTTGCATGGACTTTTCCCATTCTAAAAGGCTGAAATGCCTCTAAAATGCAGGTTAGCTGACAGTCAACCCCTGGCCCTGAGTTACCAAGTGAGGACTAGAACAGAGATCTCCTGAACTACCTCCTGTGTTCTAACCACTCCACAAAACTGGCTAAAAGCCCTCCTCAGTAGAGAGAATGCTCCTCACGGGCACCAGAGCCATGCCGCCTTGCTAGCACAGATTCTTCCTTGGCAGATTTCGCATACAGTTCTCTTATGAACAGCACTCTGCATGCCTCATTTACAATGCAGCAGTGAGCTGCCTGGAAATCTTCACCTTTTCTGCCCATTCCATTTGTACAGATAAGCACTTATAGACGTGTCTACTAAATGATTGCAACCCAAAGGAGGGCTTGATTCCTCTCTTAGTGAAAATATGTTGGCATTTTTGGAGTTTGGTGCTGCCCTTTTGCCCACCCTGAGACATGATCCCTGAGCGTTTCCCTAAAATTGAACGTGGCTGTCAGGCTGAAAGAGATTCAACACTCCTGCTTTCTTTCACAGACCAACATATTTCTCTGACCTGTTTCGGATATGGCAAGGTTCATAATAGTTTCTTTTCTCCCGTCTGACTAGTGTGGCCCTTGTATAAGCCTTGCATATATTTAGTACATGCACCAGGGCAAGGGGCTGCTCTTTCTCTCTTGCATAAAGTTAATGGAAGCGGACTTCAGTTTTCCCAATGTTTTGATGTTCGAGTATGAAAGTAATGCAGAACAGCTCTTCGGCTGCCAGTATTTGTTTGGGCAAGCGTCTGTGGATAATAAAATTGCAGGGTGAAATAACTGTAATCTTAAGCAGAACACACAGAGAAGAGCTATCTCAAGGTAGGCACCTGAAAGGCAATGCAGCGGTGCAGCAGCTATCCTCAGTACGTAGTTCTTGACAGCTTGACAGGACATGGCTATTAATGCTCTCCTTTGATTTATCTTAAGACACACATTTGAGCTGCTTTCATCAGCAAGTTGCTTAGGTTGCACCGGTACGAGAAGGTGATGTCAAGGAAGACATACCGACATATCCTGTGAGGAATGTTCACTAGACTTTTGGCTCCTGTTCATGCAGGAGCCTTACACATGTTTGCACTTCAGCTCCCATTGGCCGACCCAGCATGGCCATGGTTAGGTACACTGAGAATGGAGGCCAAAACATCTGGAGGGTACAAGGCTGGGGAAGGCTCAGTCGCTGTCTGCTGGGCATGCTAAGCTGCAGCTCTGAGCCTGCAAGAAATAACGACTCATGGGTGAATTAACAGCAGTGCCCTGGAAGTAAAATGGCTTTCGGTGAAGGCATTCTGTGAGAGTGTTCCCCAGTGGTGCAAGCTGGGAGTTTGGATACTTCCTGTTGCATGCAGAAGAGACAGAAGGACATTCTATTTTGGTGCCAATCTGCACAGGTCGTCTGGCCAAAATGCCCAGCAGTCTTTTTCCTCAACCCAAGCTACAAGGCATAGCACTGCTGACCTACAAGGGAAAGGGGTGGGGAGAGAGTGAGTGAGCTGGGCTGCTGATTATTTATCCAGATCACACCAGGCGCTGGTCTGGCACTAAACCCAAACCACCCCATCTCTGCACCACCAATTCCTTTTTAAAAGTTGCAACTGCAGATAAGAGTGATACTTTTACCAGCTAATTAAATAGAAGAAATGGTTGTCTTTAGGTCCTGATCGCAACATTGTTTGTTTGTACTTTCCAGGGTGCTGTGCTGCAGAAACTTTTTATCATGCTTGTGTCTCTGCTTTTGTTTCTAACACTGACCAAGAAGTTCCCAGCAAGATATATTGTTGATAAGCAGTTTATTGCAAAAAGTTCCTTCTTGCAAAGACTTTGCTTTCTGTACATTGTCATGCAGGCTTCAAAACCAAAATACTACTTTGCATGGACACTTGGTAAGTATAATTTATCAGTTCATTTTTATACATGCACACACTTAAGATGAATGCCACAGTTCTGCTAATGCATTCAGATAATGGGCACTGTCCAGTGTGTCCACTCATTGTGTTGCACCAGTGGGCCCTGCCACGAGTGTTATCGGTGACTTAGTGCTGCCCAGGAAACAAGTGGAAATGCTGCTTACATATGCTGCTATCATCTGAGTCCTTTTCTGCTCTGTTGTTCCTTCTTTCTACTCATCGGTTTAAGAACTACTAGCTTCCTGTTGTGTTGCTGGTGGGTCTTAGTGACACATGGCAGTAGGATTCTTCCCAGTGGAAATACCTCAGTTTTGGCACCAGGGTGATATGCTGCCAAGAGTGTGCTTTTTGGGGTGGGGGGAATGGTAGTTTCAGAGAAACTACCTGAGAACAGTTCAAAGAATAACAGACAAGACAAGATCCCAAAGTGTATGACATATTATTTAGAATAAAGAATATTATTTAGGCAAGCTTACTTTCTTTGGATTGTGCCCTCTCCCTGCAAAAGGCCATGTCTGACAATGCCAAGCACACCCCACAAAGCATTTTTAAGTATTTACAAAGAACTGTTGTTTGTTTTATTGTATTTATGCATACAATTTCAGTGCACTCTAAAGGGAGGATTATCTGTCTTGCTCCTGAAATGGTGCAACCCAGACCAGAGCTTTGCAACAAGCAGAGCATTTCACCCAAATGTAAGCAGTTACCCATCGGTCAAGAGGAAGCAATTCCGGATCATGTTTCAGAAATAAATCTGTCTGTTCCAGAACTCTTATGTATACAATGTGATCTGTGTAGGAATCCACGCTGTTCCTGAATAATACAAGATGATCATACAAGGAGAGGGCTGCCATTTACTCTTTTATTCTTTTGGTAATGGTTCTAGCTGCTTAGAAAGTACAGTCCCTGCCATCCATTCCTCAGTATATTTTGAAGGGAAAAATGTCTGTTCCAATATATTGGTGGGGAACAGACTTCTTTTATCATCTTCTTTTCTTCCATACAATGGCCCTTGAGTGTATGGGAGTAGCCATTTTTCTTTTCCCAGAAATGTACCCATGAAAGGATGACACATCATGATACATATAACATGGCAGATACCACTTGTTCTAGCTGCTTTCTGGTTGGAATTGTATGCAGAAATATAATAAAATAAAAGCATTCTTTGTAAATACTTAAAAATCATAATGGAAATGATAGAGTGTACTTCCTGATGAACTTATTTGTAAAGAAATCAAATCAGATTAGATCTGTTCCATATATGCTTAGCGTCCCCAGTAAACCTATGAGGGAAAGGTTAGCTGCAAGACAGATCATATCCTGCTGTGTTCAGAACAAGATGGTTCAGACAAGATGAGATGCAGTGGGGAATAGCAGTATAATTCAAGAAACTAGGTTTCTCATTTTCACTTCTGCATTATTCCTCCAAGCCAGTAGTTTATAACAGTATTGATGTGATTGAATGTCCTGGTCACAATAACCACTGAATGAAGAGTATTTTCAAAACCAGCTAAATAGAAAAGCTTAGATCTGCGAAATAAAAATTAAAATGCTTCAGATAAGCAACACAGGTTGTTAAAAAGAAATCAACTTAAATTGGAAATGTAGAATTGGCTGTCTGAAAAAGTAGGGGGTCTTAAACAATGTTTGGGCTTGCTGTGTGTTTTGGACAGAAAGCTGTAGACTTCCCTGGCTAGTGAAGGGTGAGGCCTCTCATTGTTCTTCATACTGAACGCCACAGTGCCATTCATTCCCTCCTCCCTTTCTCAACAAATTTTATCTAATGACACAGAATATTCTCAAATAAATCTGCTGTTAAGCGGTTCTTGCTTGTATGGTAGGACAGGCATGCCTTTGTGTGAGAGTCAATTACTGAATTCCCTATCCATGAATAGCAGGAGGGGAAAAAAGAAAAGTTCATTTTGTCCTAATGTTAACTGTTGAACTTTAGTTAGAAACCAAACAGAGAGGCCAGTTCTCAAAGTGTTTTGCCAGTGCACACTCTAGCATGGTGCTTCTTTGGATCAGGATTAGAAAGGAGTTCTGAAGGTGTTGCTCTTCAGGACTAAAAATGCAGAATCCTCTTGAATATGCGTAAGAATTGAACTGGTTCAATGGTTCACTGGTTCCTGTTATATGTGAGTCAGAATTGAACTTGAATTTCCACTAGTTGTAAAATAGTTCACTCTGAGGTTGAAGCTACCTTGGCCCTTCTACATAGCTGATTGGGTTGAATTTCTAAACAAATGGTCATTATGTTCCATCTGAAGCAGTTGTTTTGGTAGACTGGACATGGATATTTATGAAGCAGTTTTATGAAATTGCAGCTTCTGCTCCACTGAGCTTGCCTTCTAATCAGGTCCAGGATCCAAAGAATCACACAACTCACACCTTATACCTGAAGTGGCTTTGCAAGCAACAGCTTTCTACACTTAGAAGCAGTTTTGCTATGACATTGTGGAATGTTCAAAGGTTGTGGGAAAAAATGAAAAGTCCCACAGGACACAGATGAGCCCCATATATGTATAAAGTAGCTGTTTAGATTTTAGCCCAGGACTCTTTTTTCCCCCAATTACAGCAGATGCAATCAACAACGCAGCTGGCTATGGGTTCAGTGGTGTTGATGAGAAAGGAAATTTCCACTGGAGCCTACTTTCCAATTTGAATATCAGGAATATTGAGGTAAGGAAAAATAAGAGCCCTGTGATAGAAGAGAGCATGGGTTCCTCAAGAACAAGAAGCAGTTTTGCTACACATACCTGTATATTATGCTGCCTTTTTGTATTTTGCATGACCAAAAACATATGTATGCACATGTTTCTGTGTGTGAATGTTCTGTGTAATGCTTTTTGCAAAAATACAAAACCACCAAATAACCACCAAGTTTGTATCTTACGTGTTGCTTGATAATTTAAAGAACTAAATGCAAATGTATGATATTTCAAGTAAGGGCTTCTTCTAGACATTTTTTTCTGTTGTGAAAAGTAGAACTCTGCTCCTTCACATCAAAATTATGCTTGCTTTTGCACAAGGATTTGTAACAGTGATGTTCAGAACTTCACACAATTTAAAACAATAGTAGCTTCTTGGCTTTTGTAGTGAAAATACTTGTGCCTAGCCTTTTGTAGCAAATGCACACCAAATTTCACCCTTCTGTGCCTACTTACAACTGCATCACAGAGCGTGAAGAAAGCACAACAAAACGTTGCCTAAGACAAATAGTCAAAAATAGTTTGATTTAAATTGTGGGTGAGAAATGACATTTTTTACATGCAGACAAGCCGGTAATACCCAGGGCATTCTTCTCTCCTAGATGGCAACAAGTTTTAAAATGTACCTAGAAAACTGGAATATCCAAACCACTGCCTGGCTTAAACGGTAAGGATAGATACTTCTAGCCTTTTTTGTAACCCTCCCATCCTGTTCAAATACATTTAATAGCAGTTTAATGTTTTCCACAAATAGTCTTTCAGTGGGTGAAACAAAAGGTTCCTGTTTTCTGGAACTTGTATAATTTTGCACTGGTGGAGGTAGGTAAAATATGAGTCCTTCATTGAATGTTGCAGGATCAGATACGGGGCTTCAAGGATTAGGGTTTCGTTGTTCATGGCACACTGCTTACTGAGCTGCTTGTCTTAGGACACCTGCCAGGTTTGCTCATTTGACCATTTTGGAAGCTCATGAAGGTGATTGTTTAGACAGGCATAGCTAGTTTTAATTTGACCTTTTATATCATACTTAACTTTATATTGCAAACTTCCTTGAGAGCCCTTGTAAGTCTGCTAGGCAAGATGTTTATACAAATACATGGAAGCATGTGCTTTGATGGCATTGTTTCTGTCCCCACTGTTTCTGTATACTTGAGAGATAATGGGTTAAACTTTTATGTGATTTTTTTTAAAAGCAAGATCTATAGGGTTTAGGGCACTATCATGTAAAGATGATTGTAAGGAGACTTGTAGGTATCCTAGGCAGGACAAGAGGAGCAGTACAGGAAATCTTTCTCTTCCTGTCTTCCTGCCCTACATTTTTTCTGAATGGAATTTTTCACCCTTCTTCACTGGGATGTTTTGTAGGAGAAGGAAGGAGTCAGGGGAGGCGTCAGGAGAACTCTTCTCCTAGTTTTGCCTGTCTTCTCCTCTCTCCATGCACTGGAATACCACCTTGTCCTCCACACCAGGATCAATTTCCTGACCTTGGAGAACTGCCAGTATGGTCCTTTTCTTCCCTGCCACCAGGGGAGAAGCAGAGCTCTGACCCACTTCTGAGGTTGGGGCATTGTCTTTGAACTTGGATCTGGGAATCCAAAATATCCTATGTTCCCTAAGATGCTGTCTTGGGGTCATAGGACTGCTTCTTTAACTAATTTGGAAGGTGACCTATTCTTATCCTGGATACATACAAAGAAAGATCAGAATCCATTTTCAGATAGTTGCCCCAGTCATTTACTATAGCTTAGACCTATTGCTCAGCTATATAAATCTGAATTCCCTCTAAGACTCTTTGCAGTTCTTCTCACAATGGATTTCCACATGTCATGCTCATTTTGACTTGTGTCTAAAAAACAGAAAGTACATGCATGTACTTTTTCTGCTGGAAGAAAGATCTGTACATTCCAAAAATTTAGGAATTGATAATCAACACCCTTTTTAATCTTCCTTTACAAAATTATAACAACTAAAAACGTTGGAAGTATTAAAGTCTTATGGGAACATTCTACTGAGTTAAAGCAGCCAATCAGCCCAAACTATAAGGAACTGGAGTGGGAACCTTGCTGAATCATCCCTAGTCCTTACCTTAATACCTCTAAAAACAGTTCACTGGAGCGGACACTCTAAATGACTTTCACAGAAGCAAGCTCTGAAAGTTCTGCCTTCTGGTCAATTAGTGGCGTTTTTTAGATTCACTTGCCATAGCATCTATATGTTGTGCATTTGTCTCATGTTTCTGGTTTTGTTTTACTTCCCAGTGTGTGCTATGATCGGGCTGCTCAGTACCCTACAGCCTTAACATTTCTTCTGTCAGCTCTTTGGCATGGTGTTTACCCTGGATATTACTTTACATTTATAACTGGTATCTTTATGACACTAGCAGCAAGAGCGGTATGTATCTCCTTTCATTTTTCTATGGGTGTACTTGCAGGAATGAGTCAGGCCCAGAGTTCTGTTAAAGCTATTGGGCCTGGGCAAGCATAAATCCTACAGATTTCCAAAGCAAGCTCAAGTTTTATTTGAAACACCATATTTTCTGAAGTGCGTATGCTGAGTTCCCATCCGTAAGAAGTACCCCCTGCATTTCTGTGAATAGTCAGCTCAGCATGTAGAAAAGCTTCTGCTATGTATTTATTATGTATTACATTAATATCCTACGTTTTCTCCACTGATACGGAACCCAGTGTGGCTTGCCTATCTTCCTCCTCTCCATTTTGTCCTCACAATAACCTGTGAGGTCATTAGGCTGAGAATTAGTGGCTGCCCCCAAATCACCCAGGGAGCTTCATGGCTAAGCAGGGATTAGAACTCTTCAGTCCTTGTCCAGCACTCTAACCACTACACCACACTGACTCTGTTGTAATGAACTGGAATGTCCTGGTGAGTGGTTGAGCAATGTGTAAGTTCCATGAGCTTGCTGGCACAGAAGCTTTCTTGATCACTTTTTCTGTAAAATGCATCTTAATACACAGCACTTTATATCCATGCTGTTTATGGTGCTGACGTTCACTGACTGGACATCTTCCCCTCAGCTAAAAATGTAACCCAGGGGAGGGTTTGGCTGCAGTTCCTTGTGGTCAGCAAATGAGACCTTTTCAGGCCAGGATAGTTCTTCTTCTCCTCTTCCTGGGAAAGTTGGCAGGACAGTAGTCATATCTCCACTGTCCTAGTCCTTGACAAAATGTTCAGTGTTCTTTGGAAATACAAATGGGCAAATACGATGCACTGTCTGTAAAATTAGGGGTTTCTTGATGGTGGAGTTTGCATTACCAGGAACACAGATAGGAGGTTTTGTTGTTCTGCAGTACTGCACTTTCTGGCCACTGCAACACCTCAGCTGTATGGCATGTTTTTGATATTTCCATTACATAAGAAATTCTTGCTTAGATACTCTTGACAGATTATATGTACAAAACTTGTGCAATTCATTTAAAAGGTGACCCTGTAAACTAGGTGCTGGGTCCCAGTAAGATTCCTGGAACTGTCTCTAACCAATTGATGTGGCTATAACATGTTTACATGTATTGATCCACATGTAGAATGCTAATCATTACATTGAATTTGGCCCTTTGGAGACACTCCCGACTGAATGTTGCTGTGATAGGACTTTGCACATTAAATTCACAGTGCATAGCAGGGGTGGACAACCTCCTGTGTTTTGGACGAAAGATCCCATCAGCCTCAGTCAGTATAGCCAATAGTCAAGAATTATGGGTACAGTAGGCTAAAACTTCAGTAAGAAGTTATGGGAATTATACAGTAGGTTTCCTACTTCTGGACTGCAGCTTAAGCCACTTCTGTTCAGCAGCTCTTCTCACTGTCTCCTCTTAACAATTCCTGAGATGACTTTAAAAAAGAGGAAAGGAAAAACCAAACTTATTCATCCATTTTGTCAAAATCAGATGATCACTAAGGGCATGATCTGCTGACAATGCCTATAAGCTTCCAAACACAGAGGTGTGGAGTGGGAAGAGCAGCAGAGGTGTTCTTTGCCTCCCTGCAATTTGCTAGGTGGACTTTTTTACTTGTCCAGCTGAAACATCTTGGAGAAGACACCTTTATAACTTGCACCTGGCTGCTCCAGGTGCTGCCCACCCTGTGCACTTCAAACCCTCTCTGAAGGGGTCTTCTGACCTTGGAGAGCAGCTGGTGTCGTTCTTTCCATGCTGCTGTTGAGGGGGTGCAAGAGGGCACTGAGATCAAAGTACCATTGCAGAGGGCCCAGAGAACTTCAGCTATGGGGCAGTTGAGAAATGAATGATGCTGATGCGCAGTCTTTTGCCTTGGAGCTGGGACCTCAAATGGTTGAGGAGCTACAACATTGCTCCCTACACGGCTAGTGCATAGAGTAGAAAATCCATGAGAAGGAGCAGTTATATGAAGAATGCTTTTAAATACCCTTATTTTCTCTCTTAGGTAAGGAAGAACTGTCGGCACTTCTTCATCTCACCAAAGCCTCTCAAGATATGCTATGATGTTGCTACTTGGCTGGTAACTCAGCTGTCTGTCTGCTATACTGTTGCACCCTTTGTTCTCCTAGCGGTTGAGCCTACAATTATATTATACAAGTAGGATATCACCTATTATTATGACTGTTTTTAATCTCATATATCCTGCCCTTCGATTGCAGTTGGGTAGTGTTTCATCATGGTTTGCAGGGAAAGTTAAATGGCTATGTAAAGTTAATCAAGCAACAGTTATTTATTTACAGAGTTAACTTTGAAAACTTTTACATTTTAATGACAATTTTATGAGCAAACCAAGTTATACCCAATATATTGCATGTTCCTTCCCACTCTGGGGCCCTGTGGATAGTTCAGAATACAATTCTCAGCATTCCTGACAATTAGCCATGCTTCCTGGGGCTGATGGGAGCTGAAGTCAAAAACATCTGGTTGGGCTAGGTTGACCTTTGGCAACAAAATGACTATATATCTGGAAAGAGAATTTAAAAAGAAGTATTTTATTGCTTCTCTGTGCTTTGATGAAGGGGAGAGCCTTTAGGAAAACATAGGATGGGGGGTCCATGGTGCCGATGTGTGCATGCCCTGTAGAAAGCATGATGGACTCACAGTAAATGTCTAGCCTGGAAATGCCCTAAATCTTCTTCCCAGAGTGTCCCAGACAAGATTATGCCTGTCAGAGAGCTCTGGATTCTTCCCAGAGATCCAGAACAGAAACAGTAGGCTAACCCCAGTTTGTCATATTAGGCTGAGAAGATCTGCTCCTTTAATATGTTGTTGTTGTTGTTGTTATTATTATTATAACATTTCTATGCCGCCCCTTGCCGAAACCTCGGGGCGGCTTACAACATGTTATGATAGTCTTACTTTGTATTGCAGGTTGTAATAAAAGATAACTATTGATACTCTTTTCCTGTTTTTCTCTTTGTTGCTTGCAGGTCACTTTACTTCCATATGCATATTTTATGTGTACTTGTCCTGCTGGCTCTGTCACTCAGATCACAAAAACACTCTGAAAGGAAGCAAAGCATGGACAACTGTGGCATAGACAAGAAACTAAAATGATACCTCAAAAGGCAATGGCTGGTCCTCTTCTGTGCGATGCTGGGAAAAATGGGTACAAAGAATAGCAGTGACTTGATTTAAAACACTTCCTGAGGACCAGATGGAGTTTGACTGATTATCCAGTAACAACATTTAACTGGTAATGTTTACATCCTTGAAGGGCAAATATTATATCCCTATATAAATATATTTATAAACTACAGAGAATATTTTAATGGACTGTTCTAGTGTCCATTGTTTGCACTTGTATTCTCCCTCTTGAAGTTTATATTAATCAGCCAAGTCTTTTGAGATGAAGGGGAGAAATAATTGACAGGGCTTAGCATTCTGGTGCTTTAAACTTTGAAATGCTTTTCTTCCTCCCTGCAACATCAACTGGCTAGAGGTGGGACACAACTTATTGTGAATATGGGTAGTTCCCAAATCTGGATGCAGAATTTCATGAATGGGTCTGTTCCCGAGAATAGCAGGCACAAACCCTGAGTGTATTCTGAGCAAAACGGAAACTTCATGGGTGTGTCCTGTTAATTCAAATGTTTGGGAATCATTAACCTAGAACCCTGGGAAAGTGCATGCGGAGCGGCTGGAATGGGAGGATCATGAAACGGTGTAAATTTGATTCCCCAAAGGTATGTAGAATTAGGTATTCTCTTCAGGTGAGAAATGTGGACCAGTCAGTGAGTCAAAAGAGAAGTATGTGCCTTCCCAAAACTCCATTTATATTTTGCTTTTGTTCTGTGCTTGGCAAATAATATGGGTGTCTCCTTCCTAGCTTCAGAACTCCATAACATTTTGCCATATGAAAGCAAATTACTCAGGCACTTGGAAATAGCTCAGGGAGCCTTTGTGCTAAGTCCCTGATCTGTTTAGAATATGTATCCTGGACATTTTTATCTTAAAAGGAATGAGTTTATATTTTATAAGTCTAGATGATTTCCCCCTATTTTTGCATATATTTTTAAAATAAGGGCTTCTCATGCAACAAGGCAAATCCAAAGTAATTGAACAGGCCACACAAATGTGCTTTTCTACAACCAGCCTATTTGATCCTGTTGTACACAGAAACTTCTCCCTGCCTGCTCACTCCACGTTCTTCCACCTTTACATCTACATAATGTATATTAAGGCTATAGGGATGGAGTGCTGTGGTAGTAATAGAGACACAGGTGCTGCCACTGTCTGCTACCTAAGAACAATGACCATCCTTTTATGCAAGCAAATGACATATTGCATCCACCCATATAAGCTTTTAGTGCTGTTGGGCTGTGCATTTTGAAGCTGCATTTTTATATACTTACACATGGCAATGGAAACATGTTAACATTATGCATTAACTTGATGAATGAAAAAACATGAGCTGGACTGTTCAAAATCAGAAGGTCAATGTAAAAATTTGGCTATATGATGTTAGAACATGACTGCCTCTGCATGATATAAACTACTTTAGGAAAGCAGTTTATTGATACTGTTGTCTGTTTTGTCATTGCTAACAGCACTGTTATGTATTTATTTTCGACATTTTTTTTACCGTGCTCTGCTATCCAGGGATTTAAAAGAGCAATCTTTTTAAAATAAAGATTTAAAAAATCAATAAACCCAATAACAAGTGTGAACTTCTTGAATAAACTTGTTGACTGTGCAAACATAATCAGCAATGGAAGGTTTAAAACAAGATTTAAAAGGCCCAGGAAAATACTTTCACCTAACACCAAAAAGATAAGCAGTCCAGCGTCCGTTAAACCTTCCTGAGGAAAGAATTCCAGAGCCAGGACTGCACTGCCAAGAAGACTCCTGAAGCAAGTGTTGTATCCTGGCAGTTTCTTCCTGCAGATCATGTTCATATATGTACTTTTATTCATCTTTCTAAAATGCCTGAATCTATATTTCATGCCACACTTACTATCTTGTCATATAATTTTCCATGCAAGAAACCCACATACTTATTTGTTGTAAACCTGAAAAATGGTAGCTCATATGGAAGAGTTCATGACTTCAGCTGCTGTTTTTTGTTAGTATTCATCACATCTAGAAAGTAGAGGGGTGCGCCCATGCACAAACACATGTGTGGACAGGGTTGCAATTCCTTGTTTTTATTTTCAGTCATCCAGCTTGTGAGATCTTGATTTTTCTCCTGCAAAATCTCACTGCTGTTTGTATTTTGCTGCATACTTAGGTGTAACTCAGGAGAGCCATGATCGGGATCTCTTGGGGTCTATTTAAAAAACTAGCTCAAGTAGATGGAGATCAGATCTCTCCTGTGCCATGTTCCATGTAATGCACAAGCACCCATAAAGTAAAGCTGCCTTTACATTTTCCCCTTGGGCAAATAGCTTTGGTGTCTGGAAATTCTAATTTAAAAAATGTGTTGGGACAATTTCAGTTCCGCTTTTGCTATGAGCCTGCTTTGGGAACTCCAAGCAACTGTTCTGTTGGTTTTTAAAGTACAGGAGAGCCTAATGGTGGTTCTCCTACTCAGGAACAGCCCTACCAAAAGGCAGAGCGAAGTGACCACCAGCAGTTACTGGAGGGCCAGGAGCAGTGGGTAGACAGAGCTGGGTATAATGTGAGGATTTCTTCATGCCTCCTAAGTTAGCCCATTGCCCTTAGGTGCTGTGGAGGATGGCCTTTAAGCAGGGTTAGAGCAAAAATAAACTGCTCACCCAGTCAGCCCTTTATGGATCTTCTCCTTTCAAACATCTTAGGCCAGGTGTGTACATTATCTCTTGTTTGGCTTGAAGCATGTGGGATGAGATTGACCAAGGTAGACCTTCCCCATTGCTAATACTGTTGTCTCTTTCAGAGGCAATTCCATTGGTCTTTGCAAAAGTCTGTCTTCAGAGAAGGGAGATACTTTGGTGTACGGCATTTTGGAAGGGCAAGCCCTCAACACCTTCACTGTAATATGCAAGTTTCCTTGGGTAATAAGGCTTTCTTGATGAATGAAGCCAAAGACTCAGCTAGTGCACCACTTGTATTTTCAACTGTGGGGGAAGTCAACAAGCTAGACAAAATGAAGATAAATCCCTTTCAGTGTATACTGTCTGTGAAGATGGACATTCTTGACTAACAACCATTGAGAGACATACTTTTATTTATCTAAGCTTCAATTGTTTTAAAATCTTTCAAGGAGTGCCAAATCTATGTTTTGCACATATTGCTAAGATCCAATTTAAAAATGATCTATGTTAGTGGTGACATCTAGTGGTTGTCACTGTTGTAGTGGTTGTACCATATGTTTAGCTGCTTTTCGTTCAGTTCATAGCAGAAACATTCCTACATATACTTAGTGGGGAAGCAACTCCTTTCAGAGAGGTAGTGGATGAAAACCACCACCTCTTGCTTGCTGGTCAACAAGTTCTATTGCCATTGCTTATGTGCTGTTTCCTTTCAGTTGGCAAATGGGGAGTAGGAATGTTGGGCACTTTTCAGCGATTAGGCAAATAAAGAGACTGAATCCAAGGTGAAGGACCCCAAATCATGCTTAGTAACAATTGTTTCAGATTCCACATTTCCCGTTTGGATTTGTTCTCTTTCCCTTAGTCTGGAGAAAGACCCTTAAATTAGAAAGAAGTCCAAAACATGGTGGGAAAGAAAGGATAGTTTTTTGCTAGTGGTGGTAGTTACAATATTGTGGACAGTGACTGTGGACTGCTGCATCACGTTGTGGTTTGTAAAGGCAGGGGGTGGGTGGTATTGTGTCCCTGAACTTAGACTTCACTTCATACAAGAGTTTCCCTTCTTTATGTAGAGAACAGCTCAGCAGCTGCCAGGCAAAGGTGTCTTCATGCCTTCTGGAATGTGACCGCTTTTCTAACCAGGACATGCCAGGATGTGAATGTCATCGCCAAAGAATTCTGTTCTACAGTGTGATCCAGAGGGTGAAGTCTCTTCATGTTCTGAGGCAGTGTTTGCATGGGGTGGGGTGTGAATACCTCATGCAGATGGAGTGATACAAAGTTTTTGGCTGTGGGACACAAAGGAGAGAGTATCCCAAGAAAGCTTCCAGGAGCCAGGTGATTGAAGCTGGGAATACTTGGCAGGAATATTACCTTTCTCTCCTTTTTGGACCCCAGTGGTGGATTTATGAACGTAGCAGCATTTATGGGCAGCAGTGACCCTCAGGAAAGCAGTTAGTATTCTTTGTGTCCAGTGCATATTTGTATATGATTGCAATGCAATGTGCCCATTGAGCTGGAGTGAACATGAGTGCCTAGAAGGGAATAGTTTTATATTATAACCTTGTTGATCCCAGCAAGCCTGCAGTGGGAATAGGTAAACTTTCTGGACACGTTTGGAGTTTTGAGGACGTAACAAGGGTGCCATTGGTTTCCATTGGAGCACTTAGCACTGTGGTGCAGAAAAAAAATGAAGGACATCAAGGTCATTAAAATGTAGAAGAATCTATTCAATATATTTTTAAGAATATAAAAATAAACCCAGGCAAAAGCTCACACTTCAAATGCCTAAAAGCACACATTTCCAGGCTAATGTCATACTTGGCACTGCTTCTTCTTTGCAATTTTCTCAAAACTCAGTGTATGAAGAATATTCATCTAATCATTAGTTATCGTTATTATGTACTTTGATTTGATAAATTTCAGTAGTGAGATGAGTGACTCACATAGGTATGTTAACTTCCCCACCCCAAAGTTTCTTGGCAGCAGTCTTTCTTCACAAAGATAACTTTTGTGCATCAAACGAGATTCCAAAAATGGTCGTGTTCAGTATTTGCTTGTAACAAAGTCATTCTGAAAGTAAACTATGCATTTCTATGTGGTTTAGTTCATCGTGACACAATTTCTAGACGGATGCTGCAGTTTCTGGGTGGTCAGCTGCAGGGAAAGGTTGTGCAACAAATGATACCACAGGACCAGTGTCAGTTAATCGACAGGGTACTTAGGGCTCCTGGAATGTCTGGGTATATCTTATGGCACCTATGACCTTATGGTCACCTATTTATTCCACTTAGGTGCGTTTTTTCTTTAATAAGTGGGGAGGACTTACTTTTCCTTGCATTCTGCATGGTCTTGAAGAAATAGGAACATATTTAAGCTTTTAAAGATATGGAAACACTTAACCGTGATTCCAAGGAGCTTTGCAATATATTCTGGGATATCTTCCAAAACCAACTTCCCTCCCTCCCTCCCTCTCCCTCTCTCTCTCTGTGTGTGTGTGTGTGTGTGTGTGTGTGTGTGTGTGTGTTTGGCTAGACATTAATTTGTGGCAAATGACAGTTATGAAGCTATAGTAACTTGACAGCTACTCTAAATAAATGCATGATGTGGCCTTTCCGCCTGTGACTCTTTAGACAGTAAAGCCTATGGTGGAAAGCAAGTCAGCAGAGTTTTGCTCCAAGAGCTTGCAGTGTAAACAGCAGGGTGGGCTTGAGGGTGAGAGTGGGTTTGCTGCTGCTAAAGTAAGCCCTGGCCCAGCTGTCTTTCTCCAGAACACTTTCAACACCTTCTACATGGCAAAGTTCCTCCCATGGCCATGCACTGGAACTACAGGCTTCTTTAAAAAGGAGCAATGTTCATGCAGTAAGCCTGAAAACAAATGTAAGATGTTGGAGGACTTGCTTAGAGTTTGCTAGCTAGCCAGAATTCTGCTGACCTGGTCAGAAGATCGGTGGCCAAAATTAAAGGAGGCAAAGCCAGAAACGGTGGTAGAGGAGCAATTTTTACTGTTCATGGCGTAGTATCTACACATTCGCTAAGACATTATGTCACAAGTGGAGGCTACCATGCGCATGTGCTCTGGAAAGTTTGTTAGTGGAGGAAAATGGACTTGTGCAACCCTAAATCATAGTACAAGTCACAACTCTGTGTCTTAATGTAAGGCAGAACCATGGGTTTCTTTTTAAAATGTTTTCTGGCATTTGCACAAACAAGCCTGTAACCTTAGTCACACATCTGCCTCCCATCTCACTCAGGGCATATTTAAAGCTGGGCTTTATCTGCTCAGCCACTGAGCTGATGCAGACAAGTTTGTTGTTGTAAGCCGCCCCGAGGCTTCGGCGAATGGGGCGGCATAAAAATGTTTTGATTAATTAATTAATTAATTAGTGTAAAGTAAGGCCCAGGACACTGGATTGCCCATTCTCCAGACAACTAAGGAAGCATTTCAGCCATAAAGGAAAAGCCCTCTCTCCTCGGATCCATTTCTGGAGCAAGACTTTGCTTTGGCAGGGGAAGGTTCCTGAAAATGCTCAGAGATCTATTAGACAAAGTTCAGCCATGGTGACTTGTGCATTGGTGGTTTCTGTTTTGCATTTTTTAATGCAGGAATGGCTAAAACCCCTCATGACCTGACTCAGCAGTACTAGTATTATCCTATCCAAGACTATTCTTAAAACTCGGTTTTTGTAAAAACAGCACATTACAAAATGTAAGGTCTCTGACACATTCTCCCTTTCACATGACCATAGATCAGGATAAAATCAATTTAAATTTTATTGTAACTATTACCTGGTATTGTGGGAAATCATTGTGCAATTTGGTGAAAGAAACCTAAACACACTTGACAACAACTCTGTGGTACTTACTTCTGAGTAGGCATGCATAGGAATGTGCTATTCCCCCCCTCTGGCTACACATACACCCC